TTCTGTTAACCAATGAACTCTCCCAATGATAAGGGATAGCCAAATTAGTTAAAATATATCTGTGGATGCTGAACAAGGAGCACTAATAGAATGAATGGGATTAAAAATAAAAGATATGATTTGATGTGGAACTGAAGTAAGTGGTGAAATGAGTATTTTAAAGATCTGTAAGAACATAACAGTGATATCTCAAAGAATGGAAATGAAACAAATGCTATAATGGTTAGCATCCGATTAAAAATGATGAAAGTCATAAATGCAGTGAGAATATTGGAAAATAGTAAAGTTTCCAGTATATCAGTATAATAGCAGAAATGTTAAAATACAGATGTTATTTGATTATGGGGTGTTTAATGTATTTATGGCATATTTGTGCAAATCTGTGTGAGCCCTGCCTGAAAAATGAAAGAACACCATCATGTAGCAAGAGAGTAAGCATGAACGATAAATAATAACAGAATAAACAATGTTTATTCTGTTTGGCAAAATTTAGTAGTCCCAATTAGGAAAGTACAGTGCAGTTTTATGCAGCGTGAAGTATGTGCAGGCCAGACCTTTTCTTTTCAGTAGCTGACTGATAAATGTGAGAAAGTTTATTGTAAATGGATTTAAAGAAAGCATAGACTTAAAATACAGAATAGTTCATGTGAAAATGGAATTGAAAGTTGATAGCTGAATGGGAACAGTAAATGGTAGAAGTAAATCATGAATGCAAATAAACTAAATGCTTAATGAGTGATTCAAAACTATGCCAAGAGCATGACAAGGATTTGTGGTATCATCTTGATCAATACATGCATTGACAAACATGTTAAGAAATGCTTTTGGTGGTAACAGAGGTATATTGGCTGGGGATATGGATGTACTTTATATGCAGATTATGTGTTGCTGGCTAAGAACTTAATGTTTTGCAACAAATATTAATAATGACACAGCCATGATCTGAAAATTAATATATCAAGGGCCAAAGTAGCATTTGACTAAACAATGGAGTGGCCAATTACAATTACAAATTATACATGAGTGGAAAAAACTAGATGTAACATACACACACACACACACACAGATACAAAAATGAAGAAATGTTAATATATGCAAATGCTAGCAGAAAAGTGGTAAGAGCATGGGCTGTTGCAAGGAATGAACATTTGTCAAAAATAATGAAATATCTATATATATTTCAATATTAGAAGAGAGAAACAATTGTGTCATGGTAAGCTTGAAAATAATGGCAATGGATTACTTATGAAGCATACAAAGATAGACAAGCAGAAATAGTATCAATAATGAAGTATACTTTTGCCTATTTTGTTATGTGAAAATGAGAATTTTCAGAAGCATAAAAGTTGAATGGAGTTGAAATGGGTTATTAAGAAGTACAGACAGTAAAGAAAGAAGAGATAGGATCAAGACAAAATGGATGGTGAATAAATGTGAATTATATAGAAAAGTTGAATGAGCATACAAAAGGAATGTGATCTGGTTATACAGAAAGAATCCATGAGGACTGCATCATAAAACAAATATATAAAGAAAGAGTGATGGATTGACAGGAAGGGAAAACACTAATAAGACCCTCAAAAAGAGTGTTGAAGAGTTTAAAAAATTAAATGCAATGTATGAATTGGTGTATGGATAATAGAGCTAGGAATAGTTTCCAAGAATGGAAAGGTAAGGACAATAATTGTGAATGGCACCTATATAAAAGAAAGATTTAGTTATGTTTCTTTTTCTTAGTCCTCTGCGCTCCTTTTACCATTTTTATTCTTTTTCTACACTTAATCTAACTTTTTATTCCAAAAGGATCCATTATATAGAAATTATTAAATATAAACTTTTCTTTAAAAATGTTCATACTGTTTATTAGATTTATCTTTTCTCCAGGTGCATAAGGCAGCCTTATCTTTCTTCACTTTAATTCCACAGCAACTACCCCTTTAAGTGAGGTTAGGCTGAGGGACAGTGACTGGCTCAGAGTTAGCCACTGAATTTCCATGGCTGAGTTTGAGATTAGAAAATAAAACAGGTAGTTCTCAATTTACGACCACAATTAGGACCAGAATCTACACCATAAGTGTAGATTATAATCTTTTTGCTACAGTCTTAAGTGAATTTGGCTTTCCCCATCACCAATAAACTTCTCTCGGGCTATCAACAAGTGCTTTGCTTGTTGGTGGCTCTGGGGAAGATTACTAGTGGTGATCATATAACCCTGCTCTGGGACACTGCAACTATTATAATTATATGCCAATTGCCAAGAACCCAAATTTTGATCATGTGATGGTCATAAATGACTTTTCTCAGTACTGTAACTTTGAAGATCATTAAACAAATGGTTGTAAGTTGAGGAGTACCCACAGCATGTATAGCTATGAAAGAGACAAATTCTATATGATGAGATTTAAAGTACCACTTATCTTTTATATTGTCTTTTAAAGTAACTTAGGCTATCAATATTCTTCTACTTTCTATTTTAAGTATTAATATTAAATATTAAAATAATTTTGGCACAGAAGCAATTTTACAATTCCAACCATTGTATTTGCAAAATTATTGTAGAAAGTATCAAGTTTTACATTTAATATAAAGTTCTAATCAGGTCTGATCTTGAGTTACATGTTGCATAGCTCAACAGGAATGTGTGACTAAAGAAAACCTTGTCAAAGCTAATTCTAAATAAAAGGAATTTATCAGCACATATGGCTTTTCTTCTTTCGTCCAAAGCGTGGAGTCATTCAACTGACCATCAGGATAAATCTTAATAAAAGGGCATATTAATATATGCTAGGAAATTTTATAACCATATCAAGTTATTAATATTCTCTTTAAAACTGAAACATTTTCCTATGGCATTTTAATTAGAGATACTGTAAGAATCCAGTATCTTTACTCAATCACTCTAACCCCTTTAAAATCACTTTCAAAGCAAAGGTAAAGCAAAAGAATATAAGTGAAATACAGTACATGAACTGAGTTGTCTCATATTTCAGGAGATGATTGAATTTCAATCTGTAGTGTAGAAAACCACTATATTCAGATTACACATTAATATTAAATGCCTGTCATCTGTTGCTTCATTATCACGGAATAATTTAACCAAGTGAGTTTTGAGGTTCTTGTTTCAATTGACAAGCAGGTAATACAGTTGAAACCTGAGAGAAAAAAAGTTATCCTTTCTTAAATATGTACCTTTTAATTAAATATGAGTCAGTTACATAGAAGGTACTAACAGATATACTGACATCAGACAATGCATTTAATTAGCATATACAGTATAGATACAGATTATTACCAGACAATCAAAAGAATACTGGAACAGCCAACAGCTCTAGAATCATATCCATATAAAACTGAACGTAGTTTAACAAAATGTATTTTATGCCTCAGTTTCATATAAGAAATATTTTAATTTCTTGGATACTTAAAATACTTGGTAAGTAATTAAATCCATTGCATGTATAATCTCTTCATTTTTAAAAAATAAACATATCCTGATTAGAATACAGCTACCAAGATTTATACACAATATGACAAAAATCATATACAGACTAAAGAACTTGGATAAAACCTTACAGTAGTGCGTTTCTTAAAACTTATGGTACCAAAACATTCTATTTCATACTATTCAATGATTATTAGATGTTTTTTATCCAATATTTATTACTTTATAAGTAACTCAAGGTGGCAAACATTCCTAAATACTCTTTCCTCCTATTTTCCTCATCACCATCCCTTGTCGTGAGTTGGACAGAGACAGGGACCAGCCCAAAGTCACTCAGCCAGTTTTCATGCCTAAGGCAGGACCAGAACTCACAGTCTCCTGGTTTCTAGGCCACACCTTAACCATTACACCAAACTAGCTCTCCATTCTTTCTAGAATAAAATGTTATCCTCCTATATGGAAATAACTAAAGCAATAAAGCTTTTTTCTTGCATATTGCTGCTACTATGGTCCTATACAGCTTTTATGTTACCTGCCATGAATTATAAACAAGTTAAAAGAATACTAGCCTAAATTTCCCTTCTACTGAAATCTCAGCTTTGTTATAACAATTGACATCCTACTTCTGGGCTAAATTCCTAATCTTACAAATATACCAACTTCAAAATCAAATTTAGCACAAGACAAATAGACTAATTTACTTGCTTGTTAGATTTATAGTTCCCCATTCACTGGGAACTCCAAAAAGTCAATATGGCAGTCATAATGAAGTTGTTGATATTATTGTTTTATCTTGTTTTGTTTTACTGATCTTGCTATGAGGAAACAGGGTTTATTGTATATAAGATGATCAATCATGTAAGTCTTGTAAATAAAAATGATCACATGATTGAAAGCCCTCCCTTCTTGTGCAGATATCAACATACTGCCATCTTCTTTTTTTAAAAAAACCTCTTATTTTGGGTGCGTTTCCTCTAATCAATATACATTATCCTATTTTCCCCTACAACAATAATTCTGTGAGGTAAGTCGAGAGTGAATAAGTGACCTATAATCACCCAAGCAGCTTCCATGACTAAGAGTGGATTTGAAACTGGGTCTTCCCAGTGCAGCCCAACATATCAACCATGTTTGTGGTTGTGGTTAATGTTTTTACTTGTGAGTCACCTAGAGTCAGAGTTGGGCGGCCTAGAAATCTAATAATAAATAAATAAATAAAACAGAAACATGTACATCCACCTTAAAAAGTGTCATCATAGTTAAGCATAAAAAAGGTATTTGAATACAGAATTTGCATCTTGGAGGATTTACTAAGAAATATTCCAGCAAATGTTCCAACTTATGAACTGATATTTTTTTCTAAGTAATTTGTTTTCCCTAAACAGAATTATTGACTTGGAATTACAGTATGTTTAGAGGAAAAAAGAAAACAACAACTAAAAGTCAAATCTTAGAAAATTTATCCTAAGATTAGGTTGACGAATAACTGGTGCAAGCAGAATGTATTAGCTTGATGAGAGTCCCCCCCCCCCTTATCTATACTGATGGCACCGCTCACCTCCTGAATGCGCTTACGGGCCCTTTGCAAAACCTCCTCGTAGCCCTTCTGTCGTAGCTCGCTCAGACTCTCGTAATATTCCTCCGGGTCGTCGGTTTCGGTAAAGAGTACTTGAGAGAGGATCTTCCAGCCGCAAGTATCGAGGCAGTGGCTCAGGTATACCTGCAGCTGATAGCACAACGCATCCATCTCTTCCTCGGACAGTTCTGGAGTCCCGAAGAGCACCGTCCACATCCCCGACGGTTCCTCGGGAAGGACGGGCAAACAGGGTTCCAGCTCGGAATTCACCGAGCTCAGCTGCTGATGGACGGTCCGCAGATCCTGGAAAGAGAAGAGGCCGGCCCAGCTGCATTCCTCTCCAGATAGCGCTTCTACCTCATCTAAGGCCGCAGTGGGCGACTCGGCGGGAGGCCCGGCGGGAGGAGAAGGGAGAAGAAAGGCGGCGGCGGCGGCGGCGCCTCCCGAAGGCTCGTCCTTGCCCAGCTCCAGCTCCTCCAGATCTTCGGCCGCGCAGGCCGCTGGGCTGAACGGCGCCTTCGGAACAGGCTGAGGCCTCCGGGCCAGGCTGCTCTTCGTTCTCGCCGGGCTCCTCTGCGACGCCTCAACCGCTCGGCTGCCCGGGCTGCGCGGAAGCGACTCGGCCCGGACAGGCGATGCTGGCGAGCTCCTGGCTTGGACGGACTCCGCGCCCCGCCCGGCCGGAGGTTTTCGTATAGTGGGGCTGCCGGCCGTTTTACAGGAGGCGCTTAGCTGCTCGGCCGCTCCAGGGCCCACCGCGCTAGTGCGGCGGAGCTCCCGGGAGCCGCTGCGCTGCCTCTGCGCCGTCCGGTTGTGGCAGGTGATGGCGAACTTGCTCTCGATCTCATTCCAGGCCACAATAAAGACAAACTTCTGCTTCTCCCGCTCGTGGAAGGCGTGAGGCCTCACGGCTACCCAGTCCGCCTCCAAGGTCTCTTCCAAGGCGAAGGTGCTCATGGTGAACCGACAGCGCGACGCCCCTCGCTTCCCTTTCTTCTCACGGACGTCGCGAAGCGGGGAGGGAGGGTAGGAGAAGTCTCTGTTCCGGTCAAGATTGCCGGGTACCCAGTCACGGCCCAGCCTCAGCCATGTTAAAGGCCGGCATCGGAAACCCAAGCAGGAAGGATGCCAGACTAGCGAGGACCCGGAGAGCCGCAGTGGGAAGGCGAAGGCGCCAGAGACCCGCCGGTGGCTTCAACGGCCGTTGCTCCTGCTCCTGCTGCTGCTGCTGTTGCAGCGCGCGCGCGCGCGCTTTCCGCGCGCTCTGCTTTGTTGTCAGGAGTCTGGCGGCCGCAGAGTCTCAAGCACAGGTACTTGCAGGCGGTCACGTGGAGACGCCGGATCTGTTTACAAGCCACCGCGAGGCCACTGTCCCGCCCCCTGCGCTGTCTGCCTTCCCCCGCCTCTTCCCTGACAGGAGGAACAGCGGGACGCTTTTCTCCTTTGTCGGCCTTTTCCCTCCGGGATTTTAGGAGCGCCTCCGCGTCCCCCTTCGCTTTCTCCTCGAAAAAATTCGGATCTAAGCGCTCCTCGGCGGATTAGGGGAAGGCTGGGATCCTGTCAGAAAGGCGCCTTGAACCCACGTCCAAGTGCCGAAAAGGGCAGCGCTTTAGTGTCCCCGCTGAGAGGTTCGTAAGACCCTCTTACGAACAGAGGCCGCTCATGGCGAGTGTCTGGGTGAGATGGGAGGTGACTTGCTCAGCTTCGTTTGCAAACTGTTTCTTGCCTTCGACGTGAATTCACGTATTTTGCTTTGGTTGTTGCGGAAAGAAAATGAGTATCAATAAAACCTGTATCAGTCGTAGCTGCTAGAGATAGTCGGAAAATACAAACCTGATTCGTGGGAGCCAGTCTTAATTTTGAGCCAGCCTTACCAAAGATTTTTTTAGAAGCTGTTTCCAAGGTACAATAGGTAGGTATCCCTTTAGGCTTTCATATTTTTCTAAATTTCATTACTCAATATAGACCAGAAAACATACCCTATATATCACATCCAAATATATCACAATCTGAATACTTGATTCCAATTCCTTTTAATAGAATTTATTTCTATTATATTTTATTCTTTTCTATTAATTCTATTAATAATTAAAATAATTATAAATAATAGTTAATAAAAGTTCCAAAAGGGAGGAAAGAACAACTTGCTTTTTAAATAACTAAATATCTTTTGCGTAATCATTGTCTGATATCTTACTAGGCAGCTGGCTATTTATGACCCTGAAAAATGTAGACTAAAGGGGTCCAGGTTGACAGGTTGATGTATGAGTAAAAGTATTTGAAGCTAACATTCCTGACATTGTTTGGTTAATAAATAATTATCAGGAATCATTGTAGTTGTAATTAGGATAAAAAAAATACTAATACACATATGCCTGTCCCTCAAAGTAATAAATTGGTAAGTTACAGATTCTGTCACAGTGCAGATATTTTTGGTCCACTTTAAAATCCAAGGACCTTATTAGGAAATAACACCTTCAAATCAGGGTTTTCTGACATGAAGGCACCAAAACAACAACAACAATAATAAAATCCCAATAGTAGTTTTTCCAAGACTATTTTCCTGAAAAATATACAACTGAAATGAACCTAAATATAGTTCTTGAGACATAAAGGGCATTAGTCTCTCTACATTAACTGGTAGTAAAATAATGGACTCTAATGAACTCTCCTGTACTGTGCATGTGTTTGGATGTTGTGATGTTATCTTGCTAGTTTTAGAAATATTAATTATTTAAAAAATATCCAAAAACTAATGTTTTCTGATAGATTCTTATTGGCTAGTTAATATTTAGATTAAATTTTGCAAGTTCCAAAGACAAAACTGGTGGAATTAATAGCAAGTATTTTATGGCAAAATGGGTTTGAATAATGAAAGATTCCCATCAGATTCCTACATTCTGAGTAGGGAATATTTTTGTTGAAGGTTGACTAGGACCTATGTATCTGTAGTTAGTAAGGCGCAAATGAAATATGAATATGATCATCACTGTATCCTCTCTTTGTCATTTCCTTCATTTATACATTTGTATTCAGTTTTCTATTAGCTGAATATTTCATAATTTCCATATTTTTAAAGCTATGTACACTAAAGGTAGTTTCAAAGGAGAGTAATGTAAAATGAAACAATATAACTATTAAATGCATAGTCAAATGTTTGTCAACCTCAGCAATTTTAATACGGAGTTTAGGGAGTTGAAGTCCACCCATCTTAAAGTTGCTGAGATTGAGAAACACTGGTACAGGGGTACATCAAGCTATACTTATAGTAAAGAAGAAAACAGAAGAACCTTGAAGTTGTGGGGGTCTTTAGTGTAAAATTGAATAGTGCAGTTTATATAATGTCTCATATAAAATGTAATAGAATAGACACACAATATTTATCCCAAAATAGCAAAAAAAAAAACCTAAACCAAATACTTTAGCTTTGTAACTACAACTAGAACTTAAACCTCAAAACAGTAAATGAGGAACTGTGGGAGAAACCACAAGCCACATAATAGATCGATCTTATATAAAAGCTGCTGGGGTATTTTTCAAACAAATACATTTCATTCTTGTTATCTAAGGTGGTAAGTGGGAACATTTTTTTAATATTTAAATTTTGTTGCTTTGCCTTGTTGATGTTTGATTTTAATAGAATTCTAAAAACTGTAGTTTGAATTATGCCTTGTCTGACATATTGCAAAAGGATTTATATTTATTTCAGAAAAAGAAACAGGCAGACTAATGGTAGACCATTGTTCATAGTTTATTAAATCTCATATATTTATTGAATCTCACATGTGGTAACTTCATAGAACTACTGTATAAGGTTATTTGCTTGATACATTTGAGTCAAGATGACAGGTTAACATGGTATAATAGGAAAGTGACTAAATAGATTTAATGTGTATTGCTATCAGAGCAATAAATACATTTAATTATTGTTTTAATTTAAAATGTATGATGCCTAAAGAATTTTAAGGTCATCTATTAAAAATTATGACATATATATTGAACGTATTAAACATTTAATATTGCTTCATTTCTGCATTTTTATACCCTAAGGTAGTAATGGAATACTTATTTTTAAAAATCAACCTGTTTCCTCCCTTCTTTTTTAAAAAAGAAATCTAGTCCAATAATGTGTTTTGCAAAGTCAGAAATTTTGCATTTTTTTCATATGAGCTGCCATATAAATGATGTGTGAGTTGTCATACATTCTTGTTTATGACTTAAAGTTGCTTGATTGCAGGGAGCTCTGTACATCAAATTGCCGCCTAAAATTTACATTCAGGATGTAACCCAGATGCATGTTACAGCATTTCTTAATTGTGGTTGTCAAATTAGTAATTATGTGTTCTACCGATATACTCATAGAAGTTGTTTGTTTGAATTGTATAGCCTTCTTAAGCAATGCTATAACATGAGAACTCCAGGTCAGGTCCTCCTTTATGGTAACACCCAGAAATCTAAAGCTGGCCACTCGCTCCACACAGTCTCCGCTGATGATCTGATTTATTCCTCTTGTAATCTACTATAAGTTCCTTAGTCTTAGTTGTGTTGAGAACCAAATTATTGTCTCTGCACCATAAGAGCAACCGCTCCACCTCATCCCGTAGGCACATTCATCCCCACTGGAGATAAGCCCCATCACTGTTGTATCATCTGCAAATTTAACAATAATATTGCTGGGATGAGTGGGGGCGCAGTCATAAGTGTAGAGAGTGTAAAATATGGGGCTCAACACACAGCCCTGTGAGGAGCCCGTATTAAGAATAAGGGCTAAAGAGATATAGTTGCCTAATCTAACCCTGTGAGAGTGGCCAGACAGGAAGTTCATAATCCAAAGGAAGATTGAATGTGAAAGTCCAAGAGTGACAAGTTTAGACACCAGTGTGTATGGAAGAATTGTGTTAAATGCAGAGCTAAAATCCCAGAGAGCATCCTTACATAGGTCCCTCACTGCTCCAGATGAGTGAGACCAGTATGGCTGTTTCATCTTTTTGCTCTGTATGAAAACTGGTGACTGTCGAGTGTGTATGGGAGGCAGGACACAATGTGCCTGCAGACCAGTTTTTCAAAACGCTTCATGATAATAGCGATTAGTGCCACTGGTCTTTAATCACTGAGACTGTTAATAAAAGACTTCTTTGGTGGACACCTGGGAAAAAATTTGGGTGAGAAATGTCAAATTTACACAAGCACAGAATTTAAGGGAGAATTTTTATAAAATGTTTTATAGATGGCACCTTGATCCACAAAAAATGTCTTATATGTACCCTGACGTGCAACCCAAATGTTGGAGATGTGGTTATAAGGAGGCTTCCTATTATCATATTTGGTGGTCATGCAGAGAGATAAAAGCATTTTGGATCAAAGTATGGTGGAATATCCAGAGAATTTTTAGAAGGAGGGTAAAATTTACTCCGCAATTATTTTTGTTAGGTATTGTTACAGATTGTGATACAAAGGAGGTTGTATTGATGTTAAATTTGATTACAGCCGCTAGGCTGTTAGTAGGACAATATTGGAAGAAGGAATCTTGCCTACATTGCAGGAATGGTTTCTTAAAGTAGCTTATCTGGCGGAAATGGCAAAGATTTCGGCTTTCTTAAAGCAACAAACGCAAGAGAAGTTTCTTGCTGTTTGGGACAAATGGATAAAATTTATACAATTTAGATTGGGTATACAAAAATATTATATAGTTTTTTCATAAGTTTTATTTTTATATATATTATAGATAATCTTTTTATATATATAAATATAAAGTTCTTAATTTAATTTTTATTTTTACTTTTTAAGCCTATATTCTGCTCTGGGAAGCTCAGGGGGGGGGAAGGGAGGGGGGGGTTTTGGGAGGGGTGGGGGGTTTTTTTTTTTATATATGTATTGTTTAGTTTTATTTTTTTGTATATGTTGTCTCTTGTTTTGTATTCTTTTTTCTTTTTTGTAAAATTTATAAAACTTTTAATAAAAAAAAAAAAGACTTCTTTGGTAATGGAACAATGATGGAGGCCTTCAGACAGGATGGAATAGTGGACTGGGATAGAGACCGATTAAAAATCTTGGTAAAGATCCCAGCCAACTGGTCTGTGCAGTCTTTAAGCACCTGGCCAGAAAAGCCTGAGGTCCAGCAGTCTTCCTTGAGTTCACAGCTCTCAAGGTACTCCTCACCTAATGCTTCTCCACAGTGAGGGGAGGGCTATGTAGACTAGTGGCTATAGCACAGCTGCTTCTGATGGCTTGATAGCTTGCTGCCAAGTAAATAGCTATATTTATTTAGTAGTAAGTCTAAAGATATTAGAAATTATTTTTGAGTAAGAACATGCTGGTTCTATTTATTTTGAAGATATACTCAAACAGCAGCTTCCATCTCTCTTGGAAGATTCCAGAGCCTGGAAGGCTGCATGCAGTTTGATGTCAATGATCCTCTCATTTGTTTTCCTACATTTTTTGATCAATTGCTGTGGCAACTCCAGTCAGTTTTATTAGAAAATCTTCCTATGTATCCAAGAGATCATAATGTGAGTTGCAAAATGACAGATGTTGCTGGGCCTTATTTTAAAAAAAGGCCTTTAGGAAATCCTGCAGGACCTATAAGTCAGGAGGGGAAGCAAATTGCTTTAATGTTCTGTCTTCAATGATCTTGGCTCTGTCCAGATCACTTGGGAAACAAGGAGACAGTTGTAGATTCTTGTGTATTCAGGTATGTGTGTATGGGGTTCAACAACACTTACAGGACTCTATGCCTTCCTGTGAGTCTGTCATGAATCTTCACAAGTACCCAAACATTCTGTTCCTTTTGATATTGATTAGTAGAACCTGAGAGCATGATAGATAGCTGGGACGGGAAATTAATAGAAGAAAGGAAAAACAGTTGATAGACTGGCAAAGAATTTTAAAAATATATATTGGAAAGGAGAAGTTTTAAATCTTGAGGAAAGTATGATTGCTGGCAACCTAACATGAAGATAATTGAATTGTTGGTTTCAATCCTGAAAATTTATTGTTGGTTTTTAATACTGAGAATCATGCTGGATCTTGAAGTGGACTCATTATGTTACACTGCTGAATGATTGTGGGTTTGAGTAGAATCTGATTTCTCCTTGTAACAGGGAGAAGAGTTGGTGAAGACCTGATGACAAGGAAATGTGATTGAACATACTAAGTTTTACCAGGCAGAGAGAATGCTTGTATTCGTCTGAAAGAGAGGATACTGGCCAGTATGTTTATGTTACTTTAAATAGAAAATGCTACAAAACAAACATATACATACAGTAGATGTTAAGCCAATATTCTAGAACAGGGGTCCCCAACCCCCAGTCCATGGACCGGCACCAGTCCGCATGCCAGCAATCAGGCCACACAAACAAGCAAAGTACCATCCGTGGGATGCAGGCAGCACAGCAAAACCTGTGGTCCATGGAAAAACCTCTCTCTACGGAACTGGTCCCTGGTGCCCCAAAGGTTGGGGGCCACTGTTCTAGAATGCACAAATACCTAGGGAGCTAATGCATTCAGTAGAGGGAAAAGGTTACTTCACAATTCTTTTTAAAATTTGAGCCTTGGAGGGTATCTGTCCAGTAAATAATGGAAAGTGGTTATCTAGCTGTAAATAACTCTTGTGAAGACAGATCACAAATCCAGAATTAACTACTGTTTAGTTTCTTAATAAAAGGTAAAAAAGGAACTTTGTGCTATGTCTTGTTTCAAATCCTATGAAAATACAGAAGCCCCTTTTTATTTTTATGTATCTGTCTAAAATGGCAGCGTTGCACATACAAGTGTGCATTTCAGTGCATATCTATGTGTGCATATGTATTTTGCAATTCACTATCACATGTGGGCCACAGAACTGAAAAGTTGCCTACCTCTGTTTTAAGTTGAGTGACCTCATTGTGTTTGGTTGTAACAGAGTAATATGGCTACATCTCTGGAATCAATCCCACCAGTTTACTTCTCTTAAAGCTACAGTATGTTTACTCATTTTACTCAAGAACACTTAATACCTAATTCATACAAAGATCTTCATTTGCTTTGGCCATGGTACAACAAATCTTGCCTCAGGAGAACTTTTTCTTGCCAAGATAAAGGCTTGAATTCAGAGGGCACATCCAGACAACCAGTTTAATGTTCTGTTTTCCTCTCTGGGAACTGACACAAAATATGCCAGCATAAATTTGCTCTGTCCCCATTCAATTTATACCCTTGCTGGTGGGTAAAACAGCAACCAAGGATTTTCTCTAATTTGGCTGGGTCTAAGAAAGGAGGTGAGTTCTAAATGATGACCAGAGCAGTAACTAACTGTCAGAACCAAGATGCTCCTATCTACCTCATAAATCAACCTCAGTGCTTTCTCCTATAGTTCAGGTATTGAGGAGAATATTTTTTCAATCATATTATTCCCTAGTACAGGAGTAGGCAACTTTGGCTTTTTTATGACTCGTGGACTTCAACTCCCAGAATTCCTGAGCCAGCCAATTCTGGGAGTTGAAGTCTACAAGTCATAAAAGAGCCAAGGTTGCCTACCCCTGCCCTAGTATATGAGTGGCCTGTCAGGCATTATCCATGACAGCTGACCAGAGGAGAGGGAAAGCCATCACAGGAGCTCAGTGGATCCCACTCCTTGACCTCTTCTTGCCCACCAATAAGGTACCAGCTGGAACTGGCCACAGAGAATGGAGGAGAATCACCACAAAATGGTGCCTCTTACTCCCAGTCTCCTGAATCAGTCCAGGAGGATACTATTGAAAGCCATTGAAAGATCCAGGAGACCCAGGACAGTTGCACCACCACGTCCTGAGCCTTTCAGAGTTCAGCAGCAAGTATGACCAATGCCATCTTAGTGTTGTACAAGGATCCAAATAATCTGCTTCACCGAGGGCCCTCTGAAGCTGTGTGCCAACTACCATCTTAACAGTCTTTCCCCAAAAGGGATGGACACAGTCTTTCCCCAAAGGGATGGACACAGTCTTTCCCCAAAAGGGATGGACACAGCTAAGACCATTGAGTAGGGGTGCATTATGACCTCCAAGGTAAGTGGTACCATCCCATCCTGCAAAGAAGCATTAACAACCACTTGGTTCCAGCCATATGCCATCTCCCATGACACCTTAACCAACCAGAACACAGATGGTTTAGCTCACAGTTGCAAGGAAGGACCCTGTGCACACCCTCAAGTTCAACCATCTGAAACTCTTCTTGGATAACTGGGCTCAGACTGTCTCATGAAGTTGGCTGATATTGTGTATGAATTGGGATTAAGAGGAAGATAATGTCATGCAGAGATGTTTGTCAAGAACTGTTAGGTTCAAAGTGAAGTTAGGGAGACTTGGATATGCTAAAAAAAAAAATACTACTGGTAGGAGAAGGGAATAACAAAACTGGGATAGGCAACCACAAGATGGCAGCAAAGAATTAAAGAAAAGTAAGTTATCTGGATTTTTACAACCCAGATACAGCAGCCCTACAAGGTCATTTTCTGGTAACAACTGTGTCAGTCAGTTCCTCCCCTAAATGCTCAGGGAACCTCTTAAATAAAAAATTGTGGCACAAGAGGATAAAAGGTACAAGTGACAGTAAACTATTTTGAAATGTAGCCATCATCTTCATGCGTGTCCACATAGCTTTTTCAACACCAGTAGCAACAAATAGGAAGTAAAACTAAAATTAGCTGCAATTTATAAAGGATTCCAAATGCATTTGCTACTGGCCCAGTTGAGACAGAATCATTTTTCTAACTTTGATTCTGCCATTTTATACCAGAAATTATCAAATTCTGGACCTCAGATACTCTGTGCATTGAATCATCTGTGTATTGAATCATTCTCTGGCTAGCTAACGTAATTAAGTAATTTTTATGAAAAAAACTTTTGAAGATATAATTATATTAGGTAGATAAGGTGTACTAATGCCATTTCTTCTACTAATATTTATTTCTCTTTTTACAAGGTATGAAAAAATATCTTCCATGATGACAGCTTTATAGGAAAACTGGTTTTGGATTCTTATAGACAAGCTGTATTCAAGAACTGTTTAGCTTCTGGTGATTTAGCTCAAAGAGCTTTTGTTCTATTTTTGGAAAACGTTTCCACAATGTAAATGTTCAAGTTACTGTATTACATTTCATTGTGCAATAATAATATAAAATCTATCTTTAAATTGAAACACTTAAATTAAAATGCTATTGTTTTGTTCGAGGTTGATCAATTTGTCCAACAATTCTCTCTGTCCAAAATATTACATTCTGAATTTTATATATTTTTCTGACTATCCAAAGGTGATTATTAATACATGCGATAAAAAAGAAATCTGAGATTACTTGATCTTGAAAAGGTTGACAATGTTTCAATAATGCACTGGCTCATCCAAAATGTTAGCTCTTTCCACAACCTCTAAAAGTACTAGAAGCAATTTGTATCCAGTATTACAACATAACAGTCCTGTAAATTTGAGCTCCTTATGCACCATTTTTGTTATAATAATATAGTATTATGCATAGTTCTGCATGGTATTGAATGATGCCTATATTATTTCCTTACACATACACAGGTATGCATTTCAACTCAATTCTTATTTTTCTTTTTTACTTGTTTTTTTTTTCACATAATGATCTTTTTTCTTCTTCACATATATGGATTTTTTTTAATTGAATGATTTTAGGGTTCATAGTTGATTAGACATTTTATAAATAAGAATTCATATTTGTATTTAGTTACAAAATAGGTTTCTTGGAATTCAGTCTCTGCCTCTAGTAAGTTTGTTAACTTCATGCTTCCATTAACATGAAAAATGGTACACAATTTTTTACCTTTTAGCCTAATAAAGATACTGCCATACTTAGGAGGATTTTTTTCTTATGACTTTGGCATGTTAGCTTTTTTATATAATAATTTAATAATACTTATTTTTAAAAAATATATACATATATCTTGTGATAAATAGTACCTCCAAAACTCTAGACACATCGTAGTTAAATTACCCAAATATGGCAAGTTTGATACTTTATATTATGGGTGGGCAATTAAGTTTTCCAAGAGGCCACATGAGAAACTGGCACTGTTGTGGAGGAGGGCTGTTGCTGCCCCCACCCCTGCGCTCCGCTGCTGCTGCTGCAACCCATGCCACAGGCCAGACAAGGCCGGATGTGGCCCATGAGACATAAAATGCTGAGGTACGCACTATATTATAATTAGATTTATATAAAATAGGAAAGTATTATATTCATGCTTTGTACTAGTTTATTAGCCCTGTGCTAATTTAAAAAAGGGATATATCATTACCAAACAATAAGATAGTTATCTCAGTCGAATTTGAACGTAGTAGTTCAGAACAACTATTAGAAATATATCAGTAACCCACAACTTTATTTCTGGAGCTATTGTTCCATTTCTTTACCATTTCTTTATTCTTATTTGCCAGACATATCAAATATATTCACATGTCTTTGTCATGCAGGAAAAGTGTGCAAAATATACAAGATGCAATGAATAAACAAGGTCATCTCAAGCACTTATTGTTAGTTAGTTTAGTTGAAAGAACTCTCCGGTTGCTAGGAATTACAGCATTGTTCTCTGTAGTGTTGTATTACAATTGAGTTACTCAGTAACAGTCTTAACACAATGGTTAACCATGGTGTATATTAGCAAGTACACATTTTAGTTTACTTAAATATAAACATTCTTATTATTTTTGCCCAGAAAAACTAATAAAGAAGGAGCACAACTGGCATTAAATTTTGTTTTATTAATTTTATTTCTCTATCTCAGAAGAGTGAACTGCTTAAACTATAAACACATAATTTTAGGAACATATCTTCTAAATCAAGAAGAATATTTGTACATTTACCCAAAATACAGAATAGGAATCCTCTGCCCAAACGAGAAAAAAGCACCAAATCCACCTAAAAGTAACACAAACAAATACAAAGTTTAAAAAACATTATTGTATGAATAGGTTTTCCTGTTTGGCTTTCTGAATGGGCAACAGATGTTTAATCTGTCAGAGGGTGGTTGACAAAACATCAGAGACTTTAAATATAACTGCTTTTTTAAGGGTCTAGTATTTTGGTATTTTGCCAAACATTGCTCCACGTAAAAGCCCCCAGATGAAGCTAAATTATATCTAATCTAAAATGCACTCATATTTTACCTACAATCTTAAACCCTGGCTGTGGGAAGGAAATGTAACTGAATGCAATGTGACTTAAAAGCACAAATCTGGAACCAGCAACTGTTATTGAAGAAACAACCCTTTTATGTAATGGAATTTTCACAGCTGAAGGTTCCACAAGCATGATTATCTGTGGAACCCCTGGTAGAAATGGCCAAAGTTGGGTACTGGTTGGGTATGTCAGAGTAACTGAGAATCTGCAGGATTGTATTGTTGTTCTATGGAAATCTCAAAACTGCAACATTGGAAACAAAGAAGATCGCTATTTGGCCTTATACAGTTTCTAATTGCAATGAGACAGCATAGCTTAAAAAACACTTTACTAGTTTAGCTACAGAATGTCTATCTGCTTTCTTTTAATTGGATGATCCTATTTAATAAAATAATCTCAATACAATCAAAGATGAGGAATCTTTCTTGTGTGCATATAACCATGTTGTAAAAAAAGTAATGTTTGAAGTTATATTTTAATGTCTGTGAATTACATTTGCCCGTATCATCTCTTCATTTAATATTGATTGTAATTTTTAATTGCTGCCAATTTAAGATACAGTTTTGGATTTGAATGACTGTTTCTTGAAAAGTTCTTTCAGCTGTTGTTCAGTTGTTGTTTCTTTCTGCTGTATCAGATCACCTTTGGTCACATCCCAATCATCTGGCTTTGACAGTGAGGGACAATATGGTCGACCTGAAGCAGGTAACATATTCTCCCAGTACTCTTTTCTAGCCCTAAATACAAAACAAACAAAGCCAATTAGTGGATATAAGGAAATGGAAAAATGGCATATTTCTAATCTATTTTGTCATGGCTATCAACAGTCATTATAAAAACCAAGAAAAATAAGAAAAAGCCATGAAAACCATTGTAGATGCACAGTGAGCTCTTGACTGTATGAAGAAGCATGTATGAACATATATCCCAGGAGGAGTTCCAAATAGTAGTTAATACCTACAGAAAAAAGTCAAAAAAGTTAAAAGTTCAAATATAACCTAGACTCATAAGGGATTTAAAAAACATTTTTTCCCTCAGTTTGGTAGCAAGACGAAGAAAAAAAGGAAAGGGTAAGCCAACTGCTTGGTAAGGAAAGATCGTAAGAGGTGACAAGGGAAAGAAAGAGAAAAATTTTCCAACTCCTACTTTGCTTCAGTCGGAACTGTTGAAATAGGCCTAAGCAGATCAATTATCCCATGGAGGAAAAGACAATAGAAAGTTAGGCAGCACTTGGCTACTATAAATGAGTTTCTAAGTCTTCAGGACCAATACAGTACATCCATGAAATTTGAACAAGCTTGAGAATATCCTGGAACCCTTTTTCTGATCTGTGAGAAATAATGGAGGATGGCATAAGTGGCATAGGATTAAAGAGTGAAAAGGGAGGGAAAGGATCTAAATAACTATTATTTATATTATTGTACATTATTAAATAATCTATGAGCATTTAGAAAATAATGCATTGCTTGGCAGAATACAGATAGTTCTCAACTTACAATGACAATTGAGCCCAAAATTTCTGTTGCTAAGTGAGATATTTGTTAAGTGAGTTTTGTCCCATTCTATGATCTTTCTTGCCACAGTTGTTAAATGAATCATTGCAGTTGATAAGTTAGTAACACAGTTATAAAGGGAATCTAGCTTCCCCATTGACTTTGCTTGTCAAAAGGGGATCACATGACTCCAGACACTCCAACTGTTATAAATATGAGTCAGTTGCCAAGCATCTGAATTCTGATCTTATGATCATAGGTATGCTACAAAGGTTGTAACTGAAAAATGGTCATGTCACTTTTTTCAGTGCTGTTGTAACTTTGAATGTCACTAAATGAACTGTTGTAAGTCGAAGATTAACTGTATATCATGCCAAACCATCCCAATCTCCATTTCTATTATCATCAGTTTAGCTGACCATAGGAATGTAAGAGACATAGTGCAGCTCTGATTTTGCAAAACATTTGATGAAGTTTCCCATAAGATCCTAGCAGAGAAGATGGCAAAATAAGGGTTATATTTAGTTCTGTGTATTACATCTTATGAAAACATATCCAGATGAAAGCACTCATAAAGTAAATGGAAGAAAAGAAACTGTTGGAGGCATGTTTAGCCTGGAGAAAAAAGACTATGGAAAAACATCTCAGCTGTCTTTGAAAGGCCATGATGGAGAACATGGGCCAGACTTGTTCAGTGTGGGTACAGAAGGCAAAAACAATAGTTTAAATGACAAGGAATCAGATTTTAATTGGACATCTAAATAATTTTTCAACAGTAAGAATTATTATTTTTATTATTAAAATTATATGCTGCCCAACTTTCCAAGAATCCTAAGTGATTCAATAATAGAACATACTGGATCTTGACATATTGGACTCTCTTTTGCTAAAAGCATTTAAACAGGCTGGGATAGTTTTCTGTGAGGCATCTGTTAATAATGGGTTCTAGGATAGAACAGATGACTGGAACAAATGATCTCAAAACCTTCAGTTTTATCAACTGGATGGCAACAGAGAGATTATGTTCTGGCTCTTGGGTTTTCAATATCTGAGCTGCAAAAATGCAGGCAACCATTGTATGGCAGCAGAGATAATTATTTGTTAATGTCTATTGGCTGCCTGGATTTCTGCAGTTCAGATGCGGTAGTCTTAAATTCTACCAGTCCAAAAACATATTTTGAATATTTGACTTTGAGGTTTATGTATTAAAAATCCCATTTAAATGAAAACAATGAACACTAGAAACTTGAAAAAAACATATTCTTGACTCTAAAAAGTTAAATCAATACTAAACTGAAGTGGAATTTCAAGAGTACCGATCACTACAGATCTGTGTGGATTATTTCTATTAACCTGAAGGTTTTCTACGCTTTGAAAGGGATAGGATCCCTTAAACAACAAAGAACTAGTAGTAAATTGGTTTTCAAATGTTGTATTACATGGAAATAATTGTCCTGTAGAGAAACTAATCAGCATATACATTAAGAAGTCAATATTCTGATTGTATTTAATATCACCATCTTTAACCATAAATAAAGGAAGCATGCTAAAGACCTTTATTTCAAATAGTATGTGTTTTACTTTACAAGTAGTTGATTTTATACTCTTCCTTTGTTTTGTTCTTTGTTCTACATAGTTTCGTTTTTAAACCTTTGAGCGTACAGAATTTTGATTTTGTATTATGAAATTATGTTATTTTTAAATCTACTGCCAAGGCTATAAATTTCCAAAATAAATCACAATCTTCAACTTACAACCATTTGTTAACACCATTCAAAGTCAGAGATGGTACTGAAAAAAGTGACTTATGACCAGTCTTCGCACTTATGACGGTCACAGTGTCCTTCTAGTCATGTAATCAAAATTTGGGCAATTGGCAACTAGTACTTATTTGTAACAGTTGCAATGTCTCAAAGTCAACTGACTGCCATTTATGACGGTCCCAGGGGGCTTTGGACAAACGAAGTTAGTGGGGGAAACCAAACTGTGATTCACTAAACAACCACAATCATTCACCTAATAGCCATGGCAAAAAAAGATTGTAGAATTGAGCACAACTCACTAACCACATCATTTAGTGACAGAATTTCTGATCCCAATTGTTGTAAGTTGAGTAGTAACGATATTTTAAATCAATTACTTTACTACCAAAATTAAAATTACACTTACCTTGCTCTAACCCAGGGTTTAGTATGCATACTCAAATCGCTCCCCCAGCTACCATGTTTTTCAGATGCACGGGGTAAAAAACCCTTTTCTGGGGCCAGCTCCTCAGCAATTGCTCTGATATGATATGGTTCAAATCCACAGCATCCTCCAATATATCTGATCCCTAAATTGTAAGCTTCTCTTGCATATTTGTGAACATCCCATCGGGTTAAAATTCTTGGCTCCAAAGCTGTAATGATATGAATTTTTAAATATTCATTATAATAATTCCATTAATATTATGTACAGGGCTGATAAAAATTCAGCATTATCTTCAAGATATTTCTTTTAACCTGAACAAACCAAGTTAGGTAATTATGCATTTATTTACTTTAGCTTCTAAAAAATTTCCAGACATTGGCATGAGGGGCTCCATCTTTGGGAATAGTCTGCTGCCACAAGGTTGACCTAATCTTAAAATGACTTAAAATCACTCTTGGAGGAATAGTCTTCCATTGCAAACTGACATTCTTTTCCACTTAGCTTTCAGTTTCTCTACGTTTGATGCTGCAGGCTCTCCTCCCCCCCCCAATTTAACAACATTTTTTTACTCTTTTCATCGATCCCTATATTTATTAAATACAGTTCCAACATCCCCAAGAAAATATGCAAAATATACTGTAACTGGAAGAGTTGTGCTAATTGCTAATTCAACTGCTTTCTGTCCTTGGGCAAATTCGAACAATGTAAAGTCCCTCATTTTCCCCTACTACCATCCTGAGCAAGCAGAAGTATAGGACCAAATGTGAACCTTTCCAAACTCTGCTTCCAATTGATAGATTCAATTCCATTCATTTTGACATATTGGTTCTCAGGTTTCAATTACATGCCACTCCAATGTAATTTGTTTTCAGGATCTTTTAACAAAATAACATGTTGTGAAAAAAGTTTTGCAATTTTAATGCAGAATAGGTATCTGAAGAGTGCAAAAGTTGGCTTGAAACTCAACATTAAGAAAACCAAAATCATGGCATCTGGCCCTCTCAATTCCTGGCAAATAGATGGGGAAGAAATGGAGGTAGGGACAGATTTTATCTTCCTGGGCTCCAAGATCACCACAGCTGGGGACTGCAGCCAAGAAATTAAAAGACACTTGCTCCTGGGGAGGAAAGCTATGGCAAATTTAGACAGTATACTAAAAAGCAGAGACATCGCCCTGCCAACAAAAGTACGTATAGTCAAGGCCATGGTTTTCCCAGTTGCAATGTATGGCTGTGAAAGTTGGACCATAAGAAAGGCTGAGCGCCAAAGAATTGAGGCCTTTGAACTATGGTGCTGGAGAAGACTCCTGTGAGTCCCCTGGACTACAAAGCAATCAAACCGGTCAGTTCTAAAAGAGATCAACCCCAACTGCTCTTTAGAAGGCCAAATCCTGAAATTGAAACTCAAGTACTTTGGCTACCTAATGACAAGGAAGGACTCACTGGAGAAGAGCCTAATGCTGGGAAAGATTGAGGGCAATAGAAGAAGGGGACGACAGAGAATGAGGTGGCTGGATGGAGTCACTGAAACAGGCGTGAGCTTAAATGGACTCCAGAAGATGGGAGAGGACAGGAAGGAATGATGCCCATGGGGTCACGATTGGTCGGACACGACTTCGCAACTAACAACAACAAGGTATCTGGAGAAATTTCAAAGAGCTCAGCCTCAGTATCACTTAAATTATGGCACTTGAAATTTTATTTTAAAAGAAAAACATATTTCAGGAAGGTGAATCAAGGAAGGGGTTGGAAGACCAAAAACAGATATATCATGTATTTGTTAAACTTTTTCAGAGCATTCACAAGAAATAGCTGTTACTCCATTTTTATGGATTAGTATGAGAAATCCAAAGATAAAAAATGGTTTAAACTGAACCCTACTCCTTCAGTAGACTACCATCTTGCTTATGTCTGTTGGAATAGACAAAGGTCTTGAAAATTAAAGTACTATACCAGAAATTGCTTGATTGTGCCAATACTGTCAAGTAGAACTAGCCTGGATTGGTCTCTATAACAGGAATAAATCTTTACAGTCAAAATCTTTCAAAAAGCTATGACAAACTCTAGTTTTTGCTTCTTAGATTTGCTTCCTTCACCTACCTAGTTTCCTTCTTTGGATTTTTTTTTTGGGGGGGGGGTATATCTTTTTGATCAAATATTTAAATATGAGATTCAGGAAAACATCACTGAATTTGGGATCTACTGGAGCCATCTAAATCTGGAGTCCCCAAAACCAGGCCGCAGCCCACTATCGGGCCATCAGCCTTTCGGAACTGGACCACAGAAATGATGGGCAAGCACGCCTATGCACCTCCACTTGTGCAAGCAGTGGGCGAACACATGTGTGCATGCTCCATTTGCAGAGCTGCATGCACATGCATGCTTGCCTTCTGCTCATGTGGAACTATCCTCTCTGCCTATCACCACTGCCAGTCCACAAGGCCAAAAAAATCGGGGAACTCTGGTCTAATTCGCAGTGCTTCCAATTTTTTCATTTTCCCTAGAGACCTAGAACCAAGGAACACTTCCCGATTTTGAAATGTTTCCCCCGATGCATGTTCTTTACTCTTATTTTTTAGAGGAAATAAATACTGTGCCTGCATTTCACAGCATCTTTTGTTTCCATACTTTCTCCAAGCATTTCTCTTGAATAATTTTTTAAAACTTGAGTCTGCCCTACTACATTTAACCCAATCAATAGCTTACCTACGTATGGTGTCTTTTGAATATTTTGGATTTCAATTCAAATAATGCTAAAGTGAATATCTAAAAATTTAAATCAACTGAGTACACATTCCTGAGTGAATAGCATCTTCACTTTTCCTATTCAGCAATTTTTCCAGTCAGAATTGCCTATTCTCTCTTTAAAGGGATAATCACAGAATATAGGGATTGCAACTTTCTGCATTATACAGTATTTTGTAAAATAAAAAATAGCTAGATCCCAGCTTACACTTTGCATTTCAGGATATAACATTTTTTTTATTTAAAAGAAAGATAAACACATTTTAATGTACCTGTGCCTGTTCTAGTTAAAAGTATCTGTGAAGAAATCATCACAATCTAATCTGAATTATATACTCTTGTACCTTACTCTTGAAAAATTCCTATTTTTGGTTTAAGTTATCCAATATTTACTTGCATTTTAAGCAAGATAGTGTAGATTTCATTTCAGACTAACCATAAGCAAGTCTTCTCTAAAATCATGTGTGCAGTTTTAATCCCAGCATGTAGGTGATTTTAATGTTTTTGCACTCTTTTTCTCCCACCTTAATAACTACAAAAAAAAAACAAACCAAAAAACAAACAGCAGTGAAATCTTACCAAAAGGAAACTCTGGTAGATCAATGAAACCTTGCTTCCCACAATCAGGGGTATGAAAAGCAAGTGGCTGTGACATCAGATGTGCTTTTAGTTTAGCAGCTGCCAAACCTTCCTTCATGAGTTTTATAGTTGTAAGACAAGTAGTTGGATCAAAATGGCAATTTACTCCAACAATAGAAGCCCCTAAGAAACAAGAAACAACGTTTTCTGAAATACTTTTCAAGGACAATATTTTTAAACGTAATGCCCAGTATTCACTTCTTTTAATATTTTGTAAAACTAACTGCATTTTAAAGATGCATGAATAGAATCATCTTAAAAATGATGAGAAGTTATATTTTTGTCTTGATGAAAATGGTAGAATTCAGCAATTTTGAGCTTCAAAGTAAATAAATTACTTTAACATTACATGTTAACATACAAGGAAAAAGAAATAATGGTCAAAATAAATTTTAGAGGTGTCATGTGTGAGTATCCATGGAGTATTATTTCAACATGATATTAAGCTGAACAAAGATTTCTTCTCAGGCTGAAGAGATGCATGAAATTTTTAATCACTAAAAAAGCCAAAAAATGTGGAATAGAAGCATAATATCTTTCTTTAACTCTTATTAAATCTTGGATAGGAATATCAGAACTCTAGCCCAGTGGTGGCGAACCTATGGCACGGGTACCAGAGGCAGCACTCAAAGCCTGTGGGCATGCGCATCGTCACCCCAGTCCTAGGCCTTCAGCTGGGTTTTATAAAACCTTTTCACTTTAGGCCTCCGCCACCGTGTAAAAAAAAAAAGGTTCAATCAATTTCTCGCGGGGAAAAAAAAAGATCTTGCAAAGTTGGAATTGAACTTTTTAGTCCCACGCAGTCTGCTGTTACCACCGCAGCCATGCCCACCCAATGGGCCACACCCACCCGACATCCGAAGATGCATAAATAGGTTTTGGGTTGCAGTTTGGGCACTTGGTCTCTAAAAGGTTCACCATCACTGCTCTAGGCTATCCTGGAAAGTGGAAAAAATATCTCAGAAGGCAACAGCAATCACTTCTATATTATTGCCAATAAAATCGTATGGACACATCCATGAAATTGCCAGGAATGAAGCTTGAATTAAAATTAATAATGAAAATAACATATTACCAGCATTAACTAGTCGAACAGCACATTCTCCTGGTGGTATACCATTCATATCTCCTTCTGGGCCAATGCATAGAGTAACTGCAACTGGCAACCCAGATTCTTTTAAAGTTTCAACTGCCCATATGGCTTCTTCAACATGTTCAAAATACTGTCAACAATTTACAAAACAAGTTGAGGAACATTTGTTTGCTTTTATTGAAAAAATGCAGTATGTCAAAATAAAAATAAGCCAGGCTATTTCTAAACAATAGCTCCAATTATTTACAAGTAATCCTTGACTTATGATCACAACTGAGCCCAACGTTTCCATTACTAAGCGAGATAGTTAAGTTTTGTCCCATTTTACATTTCTTGCCACAGGTTTTAAATGAATTACTGCAGCTGTTACATTAGTAACATGGTTGTAAAATGAATCTGGCTTCCCCATTGACTTTCCTTGTCAGAAAGGCACAAAAGGTGATAACAGGATGCTGGGACAAATGTCCAAATTTTGATCATGTGACCATGGAGATTGCTTCAATGGACGTTTAAGTGTAAAAAAGGTCATGTCACTTTTTTCAGTGCCGTTGTAATTTCATAAGGTCACCTAATGAATGGTTGTAAGCCAAGGGCTACCTGTACTACCAAAGGCATCTTTAACCATATAGTAAATTACTTTAAATCTTAGAATTAGTCACAGTGATTATTTTTAATTCAATGCGAGAGCTTTCTAACCACTTGGACTCATTTCTTTAGTTTGAGGCCTGTGTTACAATGCCAAAGGAAGGATATAAATATAAATATATCCATATAAATATGTGGGGTCTGTGTCTGTATCATATTATGGAGAAAGGTCTTATGGTAGAATCTGAAGTATAACTGAAGTAGAATACAATTTAACTAGGAAATGTACACAGACTTTGCACAAATTAAAGCTTTCTTGTGCAACACAGCCTTGCCAAGTCTCTTCCTCACTGCAATCCCATTTGCCTCTTCTGTCCTTGTGTCATTAAGAGTAAAAATAAAGTTAATAATAGATTCTGATGCTCCAAAGCATTGATATTTCCATTATAAAGCAATACTTTGTCCCCAGATAAACAATATTTATTATTTGTCGGTGAATTCATTTACCTCTGCAATCAAGAAATCCACTTCTTTTTTGATAAAAACTTGCAACTGTTTTCGAAAGATTGCTTTCACTTCAGCTTCACTTTTGCTGCTTAAGTATGAAGGTGTTTGACTAACACCTCCAGCCACCAAAGCATCACCTTCTTGAGCAACTTCTTTTGCAATGTCACAAGCAGCTTCATTTATTCTCTGGCCCTAATGGTATAAAAAGATTGAAGTGCTAATTTTTTATTATCATTATTTAAATGTGCATGCTGCCCAATTTCCAGTGACTTGTTAGTGGTTTATGAGTGATTGAAAACATGGAAACAAGGCATTAAAAACAAGAAATAAAAAAAGAGCAGAAGGCAGAATTACAAATCTTGTGGAAACAAACAAACAACCTAGATTAAAAGAAGGCTTTAATTATCCTTATCAAAGGCCTGGGTAAAGAACTAAGTCTTCAGGTCTCTTCAAAACAGGCTATTAAATAATATTTTTTTTTGTCTCAGCAGCCAAACATATATTTATTTTGGGGTTTTTGCTTTTTAATTATTGTTAGCTGCCCAGAATCATTTGATATAGGTGGCCATATAAATAAAAATAAGTGAATAAACAATAAGTACATGTCAAAAAACTCATACCAGATATATATACATGTTTGTAATATGGTATCTAAATGATTTTGAGGCAGGTACATTTGAAGGTCTTACATGTTTGGTACAGGTATACCCTAAAAAACAAGTAGAGAAGAATTAAGCACTTTATCTAGACTCATCTCATTATAAAGAAAGTATTGTACCAACCATTTTGTTCTTTTAAGGAACTTTAACTGTTAATGTTAAAGCATTCCTGAAACTGGGAAAATGTAAAAAAAAAAAAAAATCTAGGCTATTAAGTATTGTTTAACTTTAAGTGTTAGTGTTGTTAAATATTAATTTAACAATAAAGCTACAAGTAGTCCTCGACTTACGACCATTTTTTTAACAACCATTCAAAATTAAGTGCTGAAAAAGGTTTCTGATGGCCGATTTTTGCACTTAAAACCCCATGGTGATGTGATCAAAATTTGGGTGCTTGGCAACTGGCATACATTTATGAGCACTTACAGTGTCTTGTGGTCATTTGATTGCCATTTGTCGCCTTCAAAAGGGGACTTCCAACAAGCAAAGTCAGTGGAGGAAGCCAGATTCATTTAATAACTGTGTGTTTTGCTTAATGACCACAGTGGTTCACTGACTGACCATAACAAAAAGGTTGTAAAATTGGGTGCGATTCATTTAACAATTGCATTGCTTCAAGATGAAAGTTCTGGTTCCAATTGTGGTCCTAAGTCAAGGACTACCTGAATACTTTTACTTAAACTAGAGCAACACAAAAGTATCAAGATTAAATACACAATTTTTAAACTCTGCTTACTTGACAAAATTACTAATAAAAAGTGATTGAAACTACTTACAGAAAATTTATCAGCTGCATAATTTCCCCTGTTCTGTAATTTATCATCACTGGCATAAAAGCTGAATGTTTGTAAAACATTTGCTCCAGCCCTGAGGAATTCTCGATGAAGCTGACGAACTATAAAATATTTAAGCAAAGTAAAGAGTTAAACATGCTGTTAGCACTATACCAGCAACATCTTTTAACAAACATATTGCCTCTATGATTCTATGTCCTGTTTTGTAACCAAAGTATCTTGATTTAATGTTTTTAATGACTAAATATTATTATGTTACTATATTTAAAAAATCATAATTGACTTTTTTAGAAAAACTATTAGAGTACTTTAGCTTGTAGAAATCCTGCACATCACAGATTGTAATTGGTACATGATGAATTATTATTAAATTATTCCACACGTAGGTCCACACAGATAAAAAGACATTTAAATTAGGAGGAACACGAGGCTCACTTCACAGATATTGATTTGGGCAAATACGGATCTAACAATGTTTCTAACTTTCTTTTCCCCGCTTGAAAAAAATAGTAATGTGATTTACATCAATCTGAAAAACTTCTATATGAACAAGGTTAAAAGATAATATTTAATTAAAAGCCTCCATAAAGCCTTCATTAACTCATAGAAGGAAAGGGCCAGATTAACACCTTAAAAATGATTGCAAAGTACAAAGGTTTTCTGGTGTGCCAATCAGCTGCATGATTAATAACAGGGTGGCACCAGCAATGAAGTTGGCAGCTAGGGCAGAAATGACTGAAAATCCGTGCAATGACTGTAGATCCTTCCTGGTGACAGCAATGTTTGGCAACAGTGAATTGGTTATTTTTTAAAAACGCCACATGCTGCCTAAGGCTGTTTTTTTTTTATTTAACCGTAATCACAAAGTTAACTATAAATAAGAACAGGAAATATCGATAGAATTATTTTCAGTAGTACACACAGAACAACAGTATCTACCTAATTAATTATGATTGATAACTCAAAAAAGTTAAGCTGGATAGGGTTAACTCTTTAGCAAATGAAATAAGAAACCTTAGTAATAGAGGTAGTCCTCAATTTATGGCCACAATTGAGACCAGAATTTATGTTGCTAAGTGAGAAATGTATTAAGTAAGTTGTGTCCCATTTTACAACTTTCCTTGTCAGAATCGCTGCAGTTGTTAAATTAGTAACCTGGTTATTAAGGGAATTTGGCTTCCCCATTGACTTTGCTTGTTAGAAGGTCGCAAAAGATGGTCATGCTGCAATCATCATAAATATAAGTCAGTTGTCAAGCATCCAAATGTAAATCACGTGACCATGGAGATGCTGCAACGGTCATGAAAAATGGTCATAAGTCACTTTTTTCAGTGTTGTGGTAATTTCAAACAGTCACTAAACGAATTGTTGTAAGTCGAGGACTACCTGTAACTAATTTAACTGGACTGGAGCAATACATTTATTCTATAACTGGGTCACAATCCAATTCAGAATATTTGATTTGATAAATACATAAATATACTTTACCTGCTTCAGGGTGTTCTACAGTAGCCTCAGGAGTCCAAGGTCCAGCTTTTACATAACCTCTCTTTTCAAGAGCAATGACAAATCCTCCATCACCAATCACAATTTCTCCAGCATCTAGCCGTTCTAAAATACCCTAAAATGACAACAATGCATCCCTGTAAACTTAAAAAAGAATGTGATTCTGATGATAGCATTGAAATACAGGTAGCTTAACAACTATTCAAAGCTATGATGGACCTTTCAAAGCAAGTGGCTTTTGAAAGAAAGAATCTGCTTTGCTGAGTTACTCCACAAAGCACAAATGTTTCCTCCTCATGCTGGATAAAAAAGCCTGAGTTTTGTAATGTGACCTGGTTCTGCTGACAATGAAGTTAGTTTGTCCAGGATCCGCTCAGGTTTCACAATATGTGGCCTGGTCCTTCCCAGCCTCCTGAATGTTACATATCATTAATAGTAAGCAATTAATTTTGAGGGGTGGAGAGGACCATTTGGAATCGAGAGGGGGGGGAGGCGCAAAGCAGGCCCAATGCTTTGGGGATCCAACAAGTGGGAGGGGAATAGATAGGTGGGCATGCGGCTGCAGCTCTGCAAAGTTAAGAATTCTACATAAGGGCAAATGACCGGGTAGCTTTTGTAGAATTCTTAACTTTGAAACAGGGTTTTATATATAGCTTTGGGGAGAGGGTTTGTTATAATTTTGAATGGTCATTAAATGACCTGTCATACCTTGAAGATTACCTGTATAGTCACAACTCAAGGACTACCTGTATTATCAAACAATAGTAAACATTTGCTATATAGACAAATTAATTAATACAATAACTAATATATGAAAGCCAATTTGGTGTAGTGGTTAAAATGTATGCCTAGAAAACAGGAGACAGTGAGTTCTAATCCTACCTTAGGCATGAAAAACAAACTGTTTGACTTTCGGCCACTCACAGCCCAATTCACCTTGTTGTTATAAGGAAAATAGGAGGAGGATTGGTATGCTTTGCTGCTTTGAGTTGTATATTAAAAGAAAAGACGAACAAAAATCTAAAGAAACTCATATTCCTCTCCAACCAGCCCTTGGATTATTATAACTAAATCAGAGGTTATCAGATACTAATAATTATTAAATATTGACATTTAATATTCTGACATATTCAGCATTTTTATGAACAAGCTTGTTAAATAGAAAATATCTAGTAATATATTTCCAACATAGCCATTTAAATTTCTTTTTGCGCTTCAGCCACTTATTAGGTATCAACTGCTATCAGCATGGTGTTTTGTACTATTTCAAAGGCATTTTGGAAGAGTAAATTGCTTCTAGTCTATAGCAAAAACTAAAAGAACTATAGGAAAATTCTCTTTTTAATGTAAACTTTGTACTCCGTTTTGCAATACACAATTCCAGAATATTTAGAGAAGAATTTAAACTTGTTCTGGACTTAAAACCGCTGTAGTATTCAGTGTAAGAAATGTTTATCATGTCTGCAAAAATGCAAGGGTGGAATTAGATATAAAAGGAAGTGGAATCAGACTGAAAACAACTGAGTATGTATTTCAGAGTTTATCCCAACTATGGTAGTTTAAAGTGGTATTGTCTTCTTAACAACAGAAAGTGGGTGGTACAGAAAAAAATAACTTTGCCTAATAGGATTACTGGAACTCTGGTAAGTGTTAACATCTTGTATTATATTTATAATAAAGATTCTTGGAATTTTCCCAATCGGAATTTGAGGAACCATTCCAGCACAAACATACTACCCTGTTGGCAAAACAGTAATGCGAATCATTATCATTCTAAAGGGAGAAACAGTTTCTTTTGGGTGCAGAAAGAGACCAGAATAGATGGCTTGTTTACAGGTTTTCTTTAACTACAGATGTAAAAAGACAGAAGAACTTATCTGAACCTACAGTAGTGGTCAAAATTGTGGAAACCTTTTGGGAAAAGTATAGAGTAGAAATGCTACCTTTGGTTAAGTTTCCACCAATTTTTCTTCTAATTTCTTTATAACTGTAGCCTTGTTCACTTAACAATACTATTTTACATCGCTTTCTGGGCAACCTGTCAACTCTTTTCATCATTACTTTAATTTGATTACGTTTTACAAGCTCACTAAATGGGGAAAAAAAACCAACCAACTTAATAGCGATCACATAACACACTGACAAATATCCTCCTCTCAGCTTCAATACATGACATCAATAACTGAATCCTACTGTGATCTGATTGGCTCATTCCCAAAACAAGATGACACCTGATTGGCTCTATAAACATTCATGCTCATTGGCTACAATCAGATGAAGGAAAGCTACCTGATATCAACTTAAGCAAGTTGTGCTTCCTTTTTCTGGTTATTTGGCTATAACTCAGTGGTTCTCAACCTTTTTAATGCCGCGACCCCCCAACCGGTCGTAGGTCGAGGACTAAACTGGTCGTAAGTCGAGGACTAAACCGGTCGTAAGTCGAGGACTACCCAACCAGTCGTAAGTCGAGGACTTTCCCTGCCTGGGAGCACCGTGCATGCGTGGTGCCGCCCCCTGCGCCGGCCGAGGCGTAGCTGGCAAGCAGCAGAGACGGAGCAGGCCGACCACCGGCTGGGCCACCAGCTGGCCCAGCCCAAGGAAGGTAAGGTACCCGCCAGAAAAGGGGAAAAAATGGTGGACAGCCTCACTTGGCGACCCCCGTGAAATGGTCGATCGACCCCAAATGGGGTCGCGACCCATAGGTTGAGAACCGCTGCTATAACTTTTCATAGAATACAGTACAGATAATTGAACAAACTATGTTGCATTACATTCTTGATTAAATTATCATTCCACCAAAAAGTGGTGTTATTAGCCATCAAACCTCAAAAATACACTTTTCCCAAAAGGTTTCCACAATTTTGGCCACTACTGTATATACTGAATCAGAAAGGGTACATGCAGATCAAGAATATCTTCGATAAATTTCATGCTAGGAATGGAGTATAAAAATCTACAAGCAAAATGATCATGATCGCTGGTAGGCTGAAATTCCTTCTTGGTGTTTTTCCTATGCTTCAATAAGGGAAGTATCTGATCTGCTTTCTGAAGTTATATTTTCCTAAAACGTTTTGTACTGATTTAGTCTCAAAAGAACGGCAAAATACCATTGGAATTATTTAGCCCTCTATATTAGAGGTCTCCAACCTTTCTCGGTTGATGGACTGGAGGGAAAGGGAGGGGGAAGCTTTTTACATGCACAAACGGGGCCACAAGCATGTGCAATGCAAATGGGGCAATGCAAGCACCCAAGTGACACTTGCTAGCACCACTGTTTTTGCCGTGTGGCACCCATTTTTGTAGCAGTGGCAGCACTAGCGCAAGTGGGGGTGCGCACACTGGTCAGTCTGTTTTGTAGCCAGCAGGCCATGGCCCGGTAGTGGGCCGTGGCCCATAGGTTGCAGACTCCTGCTTTATATCATATTCATAACTCTCTAAAGCTCTCTAAAAGGTATGACAGCTGCCCTGTTTCTTTTCATAGCTGCAGAAATTTGCTTTTTGATATCAGCCTCAATTGTTCTTGAATGTTTCTTCCCCCCTACAAACACTTTTTAGCTTCTTCTCCAAAAGATTACTTGATCAGATCAAACTTATAGAACTCTGATTCCCAAATGAAAACAATATGAATTGGATCTCATCCTAACACCATTGAAATACATTGATCAAAAAGTGACCAAATAATTTTAATATATATGATATAACCATTCTGATGAAGGAAGTAAGAATCACTTGGAAAACTTGTGAAGCAACAGGATTTCTCATGAATCTCTTTTAATTAATACTAATTGTTAACCCTCTGTTTTTATTAACTTTCAACTTACATAATTTTTACTAATGATTCCCAATAGTTACAAAAATTTGTTTTTTTGTACTATTAATTTAAAAAGTTGCATTGATTATATCAAATAATCCTAGGTTTAAATTTAAATTTTCATTTAAACTTATCATTTCACAAGAGTAATCACCTATTATCAGAGTCATTTCTGATAATAGCTTATATCACTTTTTTTATAAGTTCTATTCATCATAGAAAACATTAGTTTTTATTTATATATAGTGGGATTTTAAAGCTGTCAACAATGCGTCTCCTGGTGAAGCTCTCTAAAAGGACAAAAATTCCAATTTTTGCGTTTACAAATCTGTATTTCAGTATATGGAAATTGTGACTCAGCTGTCAGTCTTTACTGAACCAGCTTTATCCGGAATCCTGATTGTCCCAGAGGACTACTATGTCTATATTTGTCTGTGGATGCATAAGTTAGAAATATGGAAAGTGTATATAACTATCTTCTTCCAAATGAAGTTAATACAATTGGGCAGCTATTTCTGCCATCAATTAAATCAGCCAAGATTAATTGTATATATACATACATACAAGATTAATTGTATATATACATACATACAAGAAAATGTTATGTGCATCACAAAATAAATAATATAAAAAATAATTACATGAATATCACAGCAAGTTTTACGGTTCCCTGGTTGTTTTACGCTACAAATCCAACCGTAAAAGAACCAAGTGAGAAAAGATAGTTGGCATTAATGTGCCTCAACTCATGGTTCGTACTTTCCTCTTCTTATCAGCCGAAACCATTCCTCTCCTTCTACTCTTATAATTCCAATAGTTTGTAAGAGCCTCCCAACAGGCCTCTCAGGAGAGGAATATTGTACTTTGTGTTTAACAGGCAACCTCGCCAACCAAAAGGGGCGCTTTCCTTGCTTTTGCTTTCCTGCAAGAGAATAGAGAAATGCGTCCCGAACGGCAACTTGTTCTGTTTACCTTCTTAGCTTTAGAGCTTCCTCCAATAGGTGCCATGACGAACTATTCCCGCTGGCCGCACTTCTCGTCCGCTGCCAGGGCACAACTCTCCTCTAACAAAGCAGGTCCACCACAACCCGCAAACGTCGCATTTTATAGGCTGGAGACTGAGGTGGGCGGATTCGAAGCCGGGGATGGATTGGGAGAAGCCTGAAGGTTCGTTGCCGACCCGGCCATTTCTGGACCCTCCTTCTGATCTCCTGCCGCCAAGATCATCCACAACGCGACTGCGAGGCGCCCCTCTCGAAGAACTGAATAAAAGCCTATTAATTTGCACAGCATACCCAGAATGTGTATCTAAGAAATAAGCAAAAATGGAAGAGCCGTTTTGGGGCAGACTTTCCTAAATCTAAGATTTTGGGAACGTATGGAGCACAGCTCCCATCATTCGTAACTACCACCCCCTTGTCCCCAGACGACGTACGAGGCCTTAGCAATCATACTCCAAACTTTCGGATGATGCCAAATGGGGAAAAGGGTATCAAGGCATTTCTTCCACCGAGGGACTGTGATGTAATGTGCTGTGATTTCCCCACCACTGACCCGCGTGCACGTGTGTACGTTTTGGTGAAGGTACAGATACTGCTAGCCCTCTGTTTCTCTCTACCCTACAAAGCAGCTCACGTGTACTGTTATGGGAATTTTAAACAGTGCGGCTATTAATAGAAAAAAGACAGAAAATTTACTTAGTCTTGTTTGGCTGCAACCTTTTTTCTCTAAACTTTCATAGAAAGCCAAGTTAAAAGATTTTTCTAATTCAGCAACCTACGCATCGGGCTCCTAATGACAAACCCAGTCACGTATGTAGAGTACCGTTATCAGCGTAAATATCAGACGATTCCCAACATTCCCGCTGCATTTCTGCTTCCCGAATCAGCCTTTCTTCCTCGGTCACTCTAATCTAGTCCTATTTCCCCTCTCCTTCCCTCCTCCTCCCCCCCCCCCCTGCGATTTCCCACTGTAACCACATGAACAGAGCCCCGGGAGTGCAGCGGGGTGAGAGAGTTCAGGCACGGTCTCCTCCCTCTTAGGAGGGTCACTAAAGAGGCCGATTCCGCCTATCGCCTGCGACGGGTGGTTCCGCCTATCTCCCCCCCCCCCGCTTAGGCTGCCAACTAAGGGAACTCGAAGTTTACTCAATTGCTTGGTTTGGAAGGGAGATCGGGAGATCTTTGTGCCCATTGCTATCCATTACTGTACTAGCGTCTTCGAGGGGGAAGCCATGCTGCAGGGAACGCGGAGATTGCTGCCCGTAAAACTGCGAGTTAAACAGGTCGCCTTTCCCGTATCTTCTCGAGGTTTTGCTTGCAGCCCGACCACTGACAGGTGGTGAGTCCGGCTTCAGCTCTCCCTTTGTTGGCGGAGTATTTTTTGCGTCTTTTTTCTCAAGACAGTACAAGGGCGAGGGTAGTCCACAAATATTGCTTCTGCATGGGCACTGTAGTGCGCTGCGTGATTTGCGCAGATACCTACCACACCCCGCTCCTCTAGTCTGCCCATAGAGTGAGGCGATGTACATCTCTTAAATCCCCCATTCCTAGATATTCCAGCACATTAAAATAACTTCAATGTTACAATATTGATAGACACAGGAAGGAGGATTGCATATGTGTTATTTTTGCCCAGAGTCTAGATAACGGCAAGCCCAGTTTTTATTTATTTGCATTTTATTCTACCCTTCTTCCAAAAATTTTGAAGGGGGCGTACTGCATTCTTCTTTAATCTTCAAAAACAAAAAAGTGAGATAGAATAGTGCACGGATCGAAGCCTCTCAGGATTGGCTTTGTGGCCAAGCACAATGGTGAACTAAGCTGTTCTTGATCTAATGACAGGATTGCTCATCCCATAATCTTTAGGCCTGTGTATATTTCATTCCTAATGCATGCATGGTTGGATTCTTTAAAAAAAAAGTATGGCTAATGCTGCCAGTCAAAGACATATTGCAGTTATTTCACCTTTTATTTTTCAGTGGATTTTTGTTATTGTAGAAAAAAAATGGAGAAACAGAAAATATAAATCATGAGTTGAGTATGATGAAAACTAGATATTCGGTTAGATGACAAAATAATTGCACAATAAGTGATATAACTAGAAATATCCTTGAATTTTATCCCTGTGCTTGCACAGCAAACTTAACTTGGTTACGGAATTACTGTACTGTAATCTATTTTCTTGGATTGCACAATTCATTAAATTATAAGTTAACCAAGCAGTCAGCTAAGTTGCCTAACGGTAAATAATAAAAAGAAGCAAAGTTAAAACATTAAGTTTAGTACGTTGTGCAAATGCAAGCATTAAACTTTAACTGACTGTTAAATGTTATGGAAATTCAATTCATAAACCTATATTTCTGGCGTATTTAACAAGAACACAATTCATTGGTCCATTTGTAAACTACTCTGCAGCATTTTAGAATAAAGCAATTGGTTTCTTGGATAAATCAATAATTACAGGTCGTCCTTAACTGTTGGGTTCATTTAGTGATCAAAGTTACAACAGTACCGAAAAAAGTGAGTTATGACCTTTTTTCACATTGAAGACTATTGTAGCATCCCTGTGGTCACATGTTCATAATACAGATGCTTGGCAATTGGTTCATACTTCTGACAGTTGCAGTGTCCCAGGGTCATGTGACCTTTTGTGACTTTCTGACAAACAAAGTCAATGGAAAACCAGATTCACTTAACAACCAACAACCAACAACTAACTTATCAACTGCAGCGATTCACTTAACAATTGTGGCAAGAAAGATTGTAAAATGGAACAAAATTCACTTAACTGTTTCACTTAGCAACAGAAATTTTGGGCTCAACTGTGGTTATAAATTGAGAACTACCTGTATTTGTATACTGTATGTTGGTGAAAATGAGATGTTTCTCCTTCCATTCTCATCTATAATTTATGTTTCGAATCCACCTACCTCCCTTTGAGCTGCCTCCAAATTAGGCTTTGCTTCTTGTGCATGATTTGCCTAATAAATATTTTTTTAAAACAGAAGAGATATTATGTAGTCCATCATAACAAAAAGAAGAGCTAAAACAACAAGGAATAGACATGGAGTGGTGGTCTTATCTCCAGATACAAGCAAGATACATGAAGGATAAGCAAGAATGGGGTATTAATAGACAAGATATGGGGTGAGATAAAATACTGCTAGGCCCGGGGAAAAAACAAATAAAGAATATTTATAAACACCTGTTGGAACATAAGCTGTATGAGGAGCAGGTTAAAGAAACAATGGTGACATGGGCAATAGATCTAGGATATAATATAAATATGGATCAATGGCAGTAAGTATGGGAAAGAAATAACAAAATCACATTGGCGACATCATATAAAGAAAACTTGTATAAGATGGTTTACAGATGGCATCTCTCTCTGGTCAGATTAGCCAAAATTTATAACGGATATTCATCTATGTGTTGTAAATGTAAAAAAGAAAAGGGCATCTTTTTTCATGTATGGTGGACATGTAGAGAAGAACAGGTGTATTGGCGTATGGTCTGAGAATGGGCAATAGAAATGACTAGGCAAAACATTCTATACAAACCTGAGGCATCACTATTAGGAATACTAGAGAAAAATGTAAATAAAGAGGACACATATTTAATTATTCACGTCGTTACGGCGGCAAGGATACTATTTGCTCAAAATGGAAAGCAATGGAAGTACCGAGTGAGGAAGTACTAATAAAGAAAATTATGTATTGCACAGAACTATATAGGATAACTAAAAGATTAAAGAAATCTTCAGGAAGAAACAGAATTTTTATCAATATGGAATAAATTTTATAGATGGAGGGGAAAAAATGGAGGTCACAAATAAAGAGATAAGTTAAGATAGAGATCAGAAATGTACAGTTTGTATGTAGATATATGTAATTAATGTACAATATGGACTGAGATGTCAGTCAAAGACGATTTACCAAGTTCAGTGTTTTTAATCCTTTTTTTCTTTGTACTCAATAAAAACTTAAAAAAAAGAAGAATTATTACACTATGCCTTGGAACCTTCTTTGGCATATTATAATTAAACACCGTGTGGTCACAATAAAAGATGTACAAATGGCATTAAACAGTTAAACAATGCACAGAATTAGTGTTGACGTTCTCAAGTTGCACGAATGTTCAGTTGATTGGGAGTCATAGTCTAGAACAGTGATGGCGAACCTTTTAGAGACCGAGTGCCCAAAAACCACCCCGCCCCCTGCCTACCCCGCTCTGCTGCCTGCCCTGCCACCCGTCCGCCCCCGCTCCACCCTCCCACCTGCCTGCAGGGCCTCCTACTGCCTCAATGGCCCGCCGCAGTTCACCCAGGCGGCCCTGCAGTGCCATGGCAGCCACGCCCTCTGCCTGCACCCCGCAGCATCATCTGCATGCGACGGGGCACAAGGATAGTCTTGTCCCTGCTGTCTGGCTGCCATGTCCTTTGCTGCGCTGCTCTGTATGGGCCGCGTCCAGGAGCGGCTCTCCAGGGGGGCTGCTGGTGAGGGGGCCACAGGGGAGGTGCGGCTGGGGTGACAGCACACGTGCCTACAGAAAGGGCTCTGAGTGCCACCTCTGGCACGCATGCCATAAGTTCGTCACTACTGGTCTAGAATCACTACTGAGATGCTATCTACCCATTTTGGAACCCCCACAAAAGGATACTGTCAAAAGTGTCAGGTAGACAGAAAGAGGGCAAAGATGGAAACCCCTCACCCTTCAGCAGCTCACAGAGTTTATCTATAGTTATGCAGATAATTGCTTTAGTCTGGCAAGATTCTGTCTGTAGGTAAACAACAATAAACTAAGAAATAACTCCCCATGACATTCTTAGTTCTTTGATCCTGATGTTTGATCTAAAACTGCCAGTTAGTGCTCATAATTTTCATCTGTAGAACAAAATTCTATTAATGTTCTACAACTTAATTGTTGATAAAAAGAACATATAAAGAACAGTTGATATCGTGTTTTACAGTATGTAATTTTATGTAAAATATGCAGAAATGAGGAGTATCCATTATTATATTTGTTTATTTTTTTTTCTCCAGGGAACAAAAGCCATCTTCTATAGAAGCAAAGTGGAAAGATGCAGCAGAAACCGTAATTATTGGAGGTGGTTGTGTGGGTGTCAGTCTTGCCTATC